CCGGCTTTTTGGGCTTTCCCCCCGGACGGGGATTTGGAGCCCCAAAAGCCGGACATGTCCGGGAAAATCCGGACGTATGGTAACCCTACTGGAGACAGCAGGCTGTGCTCCCCACTGGCTGGTCCCTTCTCCTGCTGGACCTATGGGGCGCCTGCACAGAGCTCCCGCCCACCCTTCCCCCTTCACCTCACCCTGTTTGCCCTGCGTGGAGATGTGGGAAGAGGATCTGGCTTGAAGGGGGCCTGGATCAGGGAGGGGAAACCCGAGATGGGGACTGAGCGACAAACAGCAGAGCCTCAGCACGCAGCCCTGGCCTCTCAGGTCTGCCTCCTCCCACCCATTGCTGCTAATTAGATGCCACTGCCAGGGAGGGGGTATTTCTCTGCCCTGGGGCACCCCTGCAGGATCAGGCCCTGGCAAAGAGCGCAGTGGATTTGACCTGGGAATGTTGCAGGGGAGTTACATTGGGGATGGGGGGCTTCCCTTGAAGGAAGCTACCTGAGCTGTAACCTGAGCCAGGAGGGGGGTGGGGAGAAGTGACACCTTCTGGCCGGGAGACTGAACAAAGGAGAGGAGGAGCAGAGGGCAGGGGGGAGAGAGCTGCTGGAGGAGGGTTTTTTTTGTTTTCAGTTTTGGGCTGGGTGATGCAACGCAGGGAACCCCAGGCTGGGGGCTAAGCTCCCTAAACCCCCAGAAGGACTTGATTGAGGGGTTCTGGTTGTACCTACACGCTCTGCTTGGGACTGTGTTCCTGTCATCTAATAAACCTTCTGTTTTACTGGCTGGCTGAGAGTCACGGTGAATCTCAGGAAGAGGGGGGCAGGGCCCTGACTCCCCCACACTCCGTGACAAGCGGCATGGAGGATCCAGGCTGTATCTGGCTGAGCCGAGCTGAGTGATATCCCTGGGAGCGAGGCCCCAGAGCTGGGCAGCATGAGAGCAGGGACTGGGAGCTGGCAGGTGCGTCTGGTCTGGGAGGACCAGCTGATGTCAGCTCTGCAGCCAGGAGGTGGAAATAGAAGCCAAATCCCCCACCCGCTGCGGCTGTGAGGATGGCACATAACACCCTATTATAAACAGCTGCCACACCCCACCCCAGAGGTGGCTGTACCTAGTGATGGGAGAGGTGGCAGAAGGCGGTTGGGAGGGTCAGCGGCCGAGGACCCTGGCATCATGGGTTGAGATCACAGAGACATCAGGTCGATATTGATCCTTTATTGCCCAAAGTGGGGAGGAGAAGCGAAAGTCAGAGGCGATAATGCTGCCATCCCAGCCGTCACACACCAGGGGGCGCTGTCGGAGCTGGGGGGAGCAGTGGGGGCTGATGGTTCCCTCTGGGAGGCATGCCCTGAGCCAGCAGGGGGAGCTGCCCGCTGTGGACGGTGCACGGGCCTGGGCCTGGAGAGGAGGAGAGGGGTCAGTGCGGTGCCAGCAGAGGTGCCCCCCGGAGAGGGTGCAGGGTACAATGGGGGGCCATGGGGCTGGGCTGGGCTCAGAGGGATCTGACGGCCAGAAGCACTGGCATGTGTCTGGCCTGGCACAGCGCTGCCCTCCCCCATGGACACCATCACGAGCAAAGCCCTCCACTTCCCCCCTCCCCGCCTGTGGTGCTCACCTCACGGCCATGCCCAGGTGTCGGTGCCAGAGCTGGTCTCTCCTTGGGCGGACTCCTCCGGCAGCTGGCAGGCCTCTGCGTCCTGGGGAGAAGGGACATGGCGTCTCCAAGGGCATTGCCAGCATGGGGCTGTGGGGGAGGTGCCCAGGGCCCCCTGCAGCAGGAGGGGGGATCCAGGAGCGGCGCCAGGGTTTTTGGTGCCCTAGGTGGGGGTCCTTCCACGCTCCTGTCGTCGTCTGCAATTCTGCGGCGGGGGGGGGTCCTTCCACGCTCCTGGTCTTCGGGGCACTTTGGCGGCGGGTCCCGGAGCGAGTGAAGAACCCGCCGCAGAATTGCTGCCGAAGACCCGGAGCGCGGAAGGACCCACCGCCGCTGAATTGCTGCCCCCCCCAAATCCTGGTGCCCTAGGCGACCGCCTAGGTCGCCTAAATGGAAGTGCTGGCCCTGGGGGGAATCCCTGCTGGGGGGCAGGGATCCCAGTGCCTGGGGGAGGCAGGGACCCTAGTACTGTGGATGGAGGTGGGGGGGGAAGGCATTCCAGAGGGGAGGATGGCTGGGGGAGGCCTGGGGACCCCAGCGGGGAGGACAGGGTGACAGCTCCCTTCCCGCCCCCCCAGGAGCTGGGTCAGTTTGCCATAGCAATGCCCTCTATGCCATGGGCCTGATCCTGACCTCTCCCTGGGGTGGCCCCGCAGTGACCCCCTATGGCCCCGCAGCCTGTGCAAGGAGCTGCAGGGACCCTGGGCACTCAGCTTCCCCCTGGCGACTGGGCCACGGCCAAGGTTTGTCAGCTGCTGCGAGCAGGGTCCCAGAACTGCTCCCTTAGCTCCGGCAGTTCCGGTCCCTGGGCAAATAAGGGGCCCTTTGTGCTGTGCCACCCTCCCAGCCCCCCGTGTCTGGGGCAGAGCCGTGTGCAGTGCCCGTTCCGAGGGGGTGAGCAGGGACCCACGCCCTCTGGGGGGCTTGCTGGCAATCTGCCACTGTCAGGCCACAGCCAGGTGCAGGGAGAGTGGGAGGGGTAGTGGCTAACGCCACCTGCCCCATCTCTGCAGCCTGAGATCTTTGCCCGCCAGCGAATGCTGATTCCCTGGGGGTGGTTTGTAACTAGCCCCCTGGTTCTTCTCGCTGGCCTATCGCCCCCTCCAATCTCTTACCAGACAGGTGGTGAGCGGGTCCTGGGGCACCCTTAGAACCTGCAACAGCCTGGCTTGGTAGGTCGAAACAAAGTCGTTGCACTGCGGAAAGACGTAGAGCCTGGGTCATGGCCCCCGTGGCACCGAGATGTCGACTGCCCTGTGCTAGAGAGTGACCTCACTGACCCCCAGCTCTGCCCGGGGGAAAGAACCCAGGAGTCCTGGCTCCCTCTCAGCCCCCCCCTGCTCTAACCACTAGACCCCACTCCCCTCCCAGAGCTGGGGCTAGAACCCAGGAGTCCTGGCTCCCAGCCCCCACCTGTTCTTCTAACCCACTAACCCCCATTGCCCTCCAGGAGTCCTGGCTCCCAGCCCCCCAGTTCTGACCCCTAGGTTTCACTGCCCTCCCATGGCTGGGAAAAGAACCCAGGAGTCCTGGCATCTAAATCCTCCCCAGCTCTAACCACTAGACCCCACAGCTGAGCCAGGCTGGTGCTTTTCTAACACATACTTCAGCTCCTGCCCCCACGGCCCTGCTTGATGCGGATGAGTCCTCTGGGGCACTGGCCCACGCCCCATGGAGATGGCTGGGGACTCTCCCTTCTCCTAGAGCCAATGGGGGGCTGGGCTGGGGGACCCCAAGCAGATCTGAGCCATTCTACTGACCCTGGGGGAACTCCCGAAGTGCCGCTTGCATGTGCCGTTGAGGACGTCTCCAAGGTCCCAGCCAGGCCTCATGTGCTGGAGGTCAGGCTGGGCCAGGCTGGTGAAGGTCAGGCAGAGGTCACAGGCATCGCTGGGGGGCACCAGGCCACCTGGC